AGAAGAATTCGTCCATTTCTTTCCACAAAGGCCACACAGGTGCTTGTTCATTCCCTTGTCATTTCAAGACTGGACTACTGCAACTCACTCCTGGCAGGTCTGCCTCTGAGCACCATTCGTCCTCAGCAACTGATCCAGAATGCAGCTGCATGACCGGTTTTCAACCTTCCTAAGTTCTCCCACACCACCCCATTGCTACGCTCCCTCCACTGGCTTCCTGTAGCTGCCCACATCAGATTTAAAACACTGATGCTTGCCTACAAAGCCAAAAACAGACCAGCACCCACTTATTTCCAAGCACTTATCACATCCCGCACGGTACCACGCTTCCTCCGATCCTCAGGGTACAAGGAAGGCATGCATCGAGACTCTTCTCTGTTCTGGCACCGAAATGGTGGAATGAACTTCCCCTACATGTCTGAACAGCGGAGTCATTGGCAGTCTTCAAACGACGTCTAAAGACTTACCTCTTCCTAAAGTACTTAAATTAGCACTTGTAAACTGTATTGTCTGAGCGGTTGTTACTATATTACCTCCCCAGTTTTTGGACTGATGGTATTCTTAGTTTGTGACCTAGTGAGCCAGTATCAGAATGTATTTATTGATAGCACTTTTGTAAGTCGCTCTGGATAAGGGCGTCTGCCAAATGCCATAAATGTAAATGCAAATGTAAACAAAGCCACCCTACCTGGCATAATTTCCAGTTCAAACTCAGGCAGGATGTCATTCAGCACACCTGTCTTACCTGCAGAGATGAAGGAACACAGGTGAGCAGCAGCTGAAAGGTCAAAAGTCTGGGCAAGAGGCTAAGATAAATGCGAGGCATGTGATTAAAGAAAGGATTTGTAAAGATCAGAGATTTCTAATCACCCAAATGGACAGAATGCATGGATAGAAACCAAAGGCAAGTAAATAGGAATTCAGGTATTTAAGCAGTGCAAGACAGTTAGGTGAACAAAGTATGCTTTATGATGCCATTTTGGAAGCTAATGTGTGTAATGTGGTCACGTGATAGGGGTTTGAAGGGGTTGTGGCTAATTAGCAAGGTGCAATATTACTGCTCTCACATGACAAGTATGTTAGAAATCTACAACTTAAATTCTTGTTATTACACAATAAAACCATTTCTATGACTATAATAATGTTTACATTTTTATTTTATTTCTTTAGAACAGTCTCTTCCAGGGTGAGTACCATGCATGACATGCATACAAAACATGGAACGATCCATAACACTTGCATACAAAACATGGAATGAGCCGTAAACTTTTCTTAGCTGGAGTAAGTACAATTGCTAGCATTAATGACAGTAAGCACAGGAGCACAGTAAGAGCAAGCGCAACTTACTTAATGATATACATAAACACCCAGCACAGATAAAGATAAAAATACTGAAATGGTTAAATAGACAAAATATACAACTTCATGAAGATCTTAAGGAGTTTTGAACAACTATTTACACATGCCAGACAACTGGCACGTGTAACCAATGCAACTTCATTTAAAAGGTCAAAGTGACAACGTTAGAATACATGGATTAGTAATAGTGCATGTAATCCCCATGCTCACTTGGATTTCCTCTGGGGTTCATCGGTTTCCTCCCATTTCCCATAAACATTCCAGCACGTGAATTGACTAAAGCTGTCCCTAGGTGTGAATGATTGTGTGTGCATGTTGCCCTGCAATGTCATTTGAGGGAGCTTTTTCCTTGCCACTCTTGACTCTGGCAAGCTCATTAAGGATCTAGATCTACATCTGGATTTCTGTAAAGCTGCTTAATGACAATGTCTATTGTTAAAAATACTATGCAAATAAAACTCAATGGAACTGAATTAAATCTAATCTAAAACTTTGTTGAGTGCATGTAGTACTACCGGCATGTACATTAGTTTAACTTAAGTGTATCCTATTCTTTTTACTCACCAACCAATCCAATTCTTTGAAGTACATAAACCAAGAAGATGAGAGCAGAGCCAGTAACAGCACATTCCACAGAACCACACAGAACAGATTATGGGAGACTAATTAACCATTCTGACTCATCAGCTATCAGTCAAAAAAGGGGTCAGGGGTACAGCATTGCCACGGTAACAGTGTAGGCTTTGTTTGGATGTAGGATGTGTCCTGAATCACTGTCCAATCAGCACCTAGGCATGGGCAATCTTCAAACCTGCTGCCTGAGACAGTGTTATATATACAGTCCAATTTACACCAAGTATAGTTTCAAAATGGCTGGTAACATTTGCAAGTTTAAAGTCTATTTCCCACATCTTAAACTAACCAAAGTGATCAATCTCAATTTAAAATAAACTTGGGGTAATGTATGTCACAGGAGAAACTGTCATCAATAAAATATACATAAATCACATGAGTTTCACTACCTATTTCACATATATTATACTCTTATAAATGATGCAGGGGCTGTATAATCACACCCTCACTGAGCGTGAGCAGTTCATAAACAGCCTCTCTGGGGGGACAGATTTCAGTCCGTTGGACTGACTGTGCTGAGTTAGCAGAGCTAAGAAGCATTAATGGAGCACTCAGGCACTAGGCTTTCTCCTACCCTGGCACCTTCATAAAAACCACACACAGAAGAGTAATTCGAGAGCCAGAGAAAATTGAACACAAGACAGATAAGAATAAGGGAGTGTCAGGTCCAAAGTTGAATCCTCGGGAATGCCACATTGCAAATGACTTTATTTCAGACCAGTCTTTTAGCTCAGGAGTTCACTAACGTTTTTACAGTCAGGGACCCCCTTAACTGAAAAAATAATAATAATAAAATAAATTCCATGGACCTCACCCGTCGAGATTTATTTATGAACATAATCTAACTATGTAAATAACAGGCTCATTGTTTAAATTTGTACATTAATGTTTTGCCGATTTATTCCTGTAATATATATTTTTTTTATTAAAATTGTCATTACACTTATGTTGACATTATTTATAGGCCTAGTTGTTTTTGAGTTATTGAGGTTTGGATTAAATCCGTTCCATTCAAATGACCAGTAATAGGCTAAATAACTATAAGAAGGCAATAATAAATATAATGTTTCATATTAGTGGGCTGTGATTTCCACCACTGAAACAAAATTAAAACATCCGGGACCCACTCGGTTTCCTTCACAGACCCCACTTTAAGAGCCATGGCTTTAGTCTCAGTAAATGCTCTTTGGATGCATGTTTCAATCTCCCCTCCTCTTCCAAAACCCATTACAATCTGCTTCCTCAGTGGCCACAATAGACTCATTGCATTCCCCAGGGTCTACGTAGTACTCTGTTCTTTCTAGCTGTTTAGCTGTAACTGTTTCGCTCTGTCATCTCTTTCTTCATTTGCCAATAAACAAGAGGTTGTGACATTGCCTTGCGTTTGAAAAAAGCAACGGGTTAAGAGTGGCTTATAAGGCTCATGCCAATAAAATTACATATATGTTGTCTGGCGAGGGGGATTGGACCTTGCTTTGTTCGGCAGGCAGAAACGTAATCACTGCAGTCACACAGCACCAAACAATCAAGGGATCCCTGCAGCTTTTTTTTCTGCACATGGACCTGTACGTTAGATGCGACTGACCTTAGAGGAGACAGATGAACAAAGGAGCCTCTTATTAAGCAACAGATCCCTGTTGAGAGGCATGCGCCATTCAGCCGTTACCAAGGAAGCCCTTGTAAAAGCACTTAGGAATTCAAACCCTGGTGTAAGCAAACAGTTTTCACTGAACACTCATCCAGACACAACAAACACATACCACCAAAATACACAAGCAGCTTCCTGCTTACAAGCAATGCCCGAACATGATATGCCATTTAGTAACATGTTGTACAACTTGGAAGGGAACCAACAAAGGTACAATGTATCTAAATGTATAAAAATCATATAAAACTGTAATAAGTACCAATAACTACAGCCTAAATCTTTGACAATATCATCCTTTGTGTAAACTACTGTATGTTACAACAAGTTATAACTATGAGAGCCCTCCAACTCATGAACTGTTCCTTTTTAATGAAACTTAATTTTAAAAATAAGAAAAACACAACACAAATGTTTTCTGCAGGGACACAAATTATGCACAAGACCTCAAAACCCACTTCAAGACTATAACACAAAATAAAACATTGTAACATATTAACCACAACCATTTTACATTCAGAATTTAAGACTCATGAATGTTTTGATCCCAAAGGTCATCATGATAGCTGTTAAGTTACTCACTTATTCAAGTATCATTGCTTATCGGACTTAACTCATGACTCACAGTCATTCATTGACTCAGACCAATTAGACATACCGGTTTATGTCAGTTTAAAAAAAATAAATAAAATTTAACGGTTAAAAAAAACTATTTAAAAAAAAACAGGCGATAATGTATTTTCCACAATGATGCTGCTGCTTAGGTACTTAGGCTAATATAGATTAAGACCATTATACAAACATAATGTACATTTTGGTCAACTGACAATTCCCACCCACCAGGCAACTCTAGCTATAAGACAGCTACCATCCTGGGATGGCAGAGGTTCTTAGCGTGCCTGTTTTCACCCCAAAATTGATCATTTTTTTTTAATAATAGCACATCTTGTAGTGTTTCATTCCTCTTATACCACAGCTATATGGCAACGCTAACAATTATTTTATTTAAATTTCAAAGAACAGCACATCATACATTTTATCCATTTATAGTTATATTTAATGTTGTAGAACAAAACAAGTAAGCTGTTACTATAGAAACAATAATGTATTAGAACACCAATTCTAAAACACCAAAGAGTATTAGACTAATCAGATCTGAGAATTCAACAGCTCTGTTGTTGCTCCTCCTCTTTCGGCTGCTCCCATTAGGGGTCGCCACGGCAGATCATTGGTCCGCGTATTTGATTTGGCTCAGTTTTTAACGGTGGATGCCCTTCCTGACGCAACTATCCCCAATTTTATCAGGGCTTGGGACCGGCACTGAGAGCGCACTGATGCATGCAACTCCAGTGGCTGGGGTCGGTTCCCTTTCCAGGAATCGAACCCGGGCCGCGGCGGTGAGAGGGCTGTGGCCTGACCACTAGTCCTCCAGGCACGTGCAACAGTTCTGTTGTATAACTTCAAATATGTACTATTTTAATAGTGTAATTCTTCTCAAATGTGTATTAGCAGTCCTAGTCTGTGTTGTGGAGGATATGACTCACCCAGCACCAGCAGCTCCACCTGGCCTTCATTCCTGCCCTCCAGATCATCACCACTGACCACCTTACAGAAGTACACACCACTGTCGCCCCACTGTAGCTCTCCAATACGCAGATCTGCTTCTGAACAAGAGCATTTTGTTAAACCTTAATCACTAGTCCTGAGGCAAACCTTTACACACAATTTTAGATATTTATTTCAAAATTATAATACAAAAATTATCAGACTTTATAGTATCAAGATTGTCAAAAAAAGAAAACAAGAAAAAACATGCCAGTCATGATCTAGGCATAATATATACAATGTTCAGTCCTGTGCTTTGCTGCTAGGTAAAGGGGGTAAGAATGCTTGTTTAGTAAGGGCACGGGGGGAGTATGTTTGTTTTTGATAAGAAGTGATGTGGGGGTGTTTTGTGAAGAACAGGAGAGCTGAAGTATTCCTCAGTGAGGTCAGAGCCTGACCATTGTGTATTCCAGAGAAAAACTATGCCCTATTTAGGGAACAGGAAAAGTAGAACACAATTGCCTGTGTTTCCTGCAACGGCAGATTATGCACACACAACCCCAAGACAAATACACTGTATGTTTTGAGATTATATTTATACTGAAACTAAATGTGCAGGATTAAATGTGATTAAACAAAATCATCACATTTCAGTTAATGGTACACAATTCTATCTAAAATCTAGCTAAAATTTATTTGCCCCTAAGAACTTGTTTGAATTTAAATCAAAACACCTCAAGCTGGTTGGTTCCCCTTTCATGCAGCATCTGAAACAATCCAGATGATCCTGGCCAGCTCCCGTCTTTAAAGTCAGCAAATTTATTATTGCCCTACTTATCACGTCCTGTGTGAGACTGAGTCAGAATTGCTGTTTTATGCTTACCCAGATTAAACCTATACCTGGCATCGTGCGTAGATGGTCCTATGTAAATGTACAGATATATCAAATAGCCATTGAATAATAAATCCATGCTGCAAATCTATTCAATTAGGATACATTACTGTTGATAATGGAGACATCTCTGCCTTTATATTGCTTAGCCAGATTCAAGGAGTCTCCTTGCTTGGAGGCCACGATTTGGACAGTACGACTTTTATCCGAGCAGTCCAAGTGGCTTTTGGGCCCCAGCTTGGAGCCATGGACATCCAGAGTCTCAGAGAAGGTGAATGACTCTCTGGTTCGGTCTGTACAGTATGACTTATACCACCACTGCACCACAGGGGGATTGATGGAGTGGGTGTTGTACTGGCACTGCAGCACCACAGAGGAAAACAGCATGGCAAACTTCTTATCATCCTTTACCGTCACATGAACACAATCACAAGTTAACCCTGGACAAAAAAAAATGGAGAGGAGGGGTCAGATACTACGACACTTTATCCATGGGATTCAACAGAATGGTAAAAGACAGCTTACTGCCTTGAATTAAACATAAACACAACATGGTTGAATCTAACTTCATTCAAGAGAATGCCTTCTAAATATCCAGTATATTTAGAAAGTAATATAAGCATTGCAGTTTAAATTTCAGCAAGTCTCATGTTATAAATCCTGTACCATTTTTAACTATTAAAATGAGCTAAAATAGTTTTTATACTGTGCTTTGTTTATGCTCCAGTCTGTGCATATTCATTGTCTAATATTAACTAAAGTAAAGACATGAACATGGCTTCTTTCTTCATTCCAAAAAAAAATCCTCTCTCAGCTAAAAATCAACAGAACAAATGAAATGTGATAACCTGAAAACACAGATACCTAATAACATCTGGACCTTGTCATCCACTGTGTGTGTGAATGTTTGTATCTGACCATGAAAGACTGTACTTGTATTTGTCCAGCTGTGTGGGAGATAACCAAATAGCAAGCTGGACAGAATCAAAAGAAGGAGGATCTGCTTGATGTGTGTGTACGTGTGTGTGTGTGTGTGTGTGTGTGTGTGTGTGTGTGTGTGTGTGTGTGTGTGTGTGTTTGGGTGTGAGACAGTGTGTGTCTTAGTTTTTTCCTGGCTGTGTAATTAAGTAAAATTCCTGACCGTGTGTGTGTGTGTGTGTGTGTGTGTAGGGGGGGGCGACTGACGTAGGGGGTTTGTCAATTTAGAAAGAGGTCACGGTCTGCTGTTCGTCTGAGTGTGGTGGTGCTGTTGAGATCTAAACATTCCTAAACAAGAGGAAATAACAGGGGGTCTCTGGGCAAGGCACTCACTCACTCTCTGCATAACTCTGGAGCCACATTTCACAATTCACCAAGGTGCACCCTGTTTTAAGATTACAGTCTGTTAGAAAAGACCTGTCTGAGACCTGTTTCCACTTCAGGTCTATATAATAACTGGTCAAAACCCCGCCATCATCAGACTAAAGCTAACCACCGATGTAACCTCCATTCTCTGAATCTCCTAGCCAGGGCTTTAAGGACTGTCTCTTTCTCCTTTTGTTGTCAGCCTGATTCATTGTTCGTCATTATGGAGAACCCCCACCCAATAAGTCCCAGCATAAGAGGCGGGGGGTGTTTAAAACCCACCAATAAGATAAACCCACTAGCCCAGTCAGTCGTGAATGCCCAATTAAATAAAAGAGAATTGAACAGAACTGTTACAAGGAATTATATTTTAGTACAGGAAAAGCAGCAGTGCTTAACTTGCTTTAACCTGTTGACCCAACAAACTATTTTTCACAGGCAGCAGTCAAAAAAGGACAGTAAAGTTTTATACCTATCAAAACATGTCACTGAAAAAGCACTAATATCCTTAAAAAAAAAACAAAGAAAAAAAAAAAAAAAAGCTATAAGGCCATTCTGTTGAAATCAACAAAGTAGGTCAGAGTAGTAGCCATATCCCACAACTTGGATATGATCTCCCATCCTTATGAAAGCAAGGGGAGGTTGTGTATTTATCAAGAGACACAGGAAACAGAATCAGGCACTAAATCCTGTGTTGCATTTGTCACCTCTAAGACAGATCTGATACAAAGTAGTCTCATTCCTGCAGTCTCTCAGCCTTACTGCTTCCCACAATTCCTCACTAAAGCATATTCCCTTTTGGGTCAGCATAGGAGTGCCTGGCTTTGAAATGGGCACAAAAAATTGCACAAGGTAAGCTATGTTTTTGAGAAACACACCAGATCAGAGACTTAGCAGCCCTGCATTTTTGGATTTTTAATCTTTATCAGCCCACTTTAGTCTCGCGCCCTGTAGTCCAGTGTGTACACATAAGCTGTAACTCATATCTAACATATAATCAGTAAATAATATAAACACATGGAAACACACAGTAAAGCTGAACTGTGGGATTCAACCTGTTGCCCACTTCTCAAGTTTTACACCTACTTCTGCAAATAATAGTTTGAAAGACTTACGTGAAATAAGTACAACGGGAATCCAATGACTCGATATAAACCTCATTGTAGAAATAAAAGCAGATAAATATACAGGTATCCGGTCTTTTTATTTCCTCAGACCGTTGTTCTCTTCATTCTCGTGTCCGCGAGGCAGATGGATTAATCAGCGCGACCGAGAAGAGAGTGGAGCGTACCATTTTACACAGGGGGCACACTTTGAGAACTGCGGATTACTAATGTGTTTAAATGAAACAAGTTGCCAAGTACTATGCTTGTATGCACACTTTAAACTGTCTCACACTTTATTCAATTAACACGCTGAATATAAGAGACTCTATAAAAACACAAAAACTGGGCATAACTTTATGTACAGTCCCCATCTTCGAAGATAGGCGCATCCAACAATGAAAATAAAATCAGAAGTGTTTTCATTTGGCTGATACATTCAAATAATCTGTATAAAATACTTTTCAATTACAATAACACTTCTGAAAAGCAGTGATACACAGTTCCTTACAACTCCATGCATTAGTATATTTGTTAACATAATTGTTGCTAATGATAACGTGCTATGCAAACTATTTAACTGGGACTATTTCTACACATTTTCTGCCAATATACACATGAGCATTGGATGTAATCAGTGGAGTCGAAAGCTCTATATTGTGCTTCATAGTGGAGTACAACAGTGACATTTGAATGAGAGTACATATCCAAAGATCACATCTTCACGAGTACATGACAAATACATAATTTTTCATCTAATAATTAAACAAAAATAACAATTATCCCAAAAGGTCACCCATATGAAATTACAGGCCAAACATCTTTTGTAATGTCATTATAATACTTAATAGTGATTGGAGGGGGGGGGGGGGGGACACCTTTTAATGAATTAAATGTAACTGCCATCTTCCAAAGTAAATGAGCTTCTTAGTTATCATCCTTACAATTACCCATTGTAGGTCTCTACACAAATTTCTCTGGTCAGTAACGGTCATAAAGCTGACGATCTTCCTAATGATCATGGCGATCAGTATACTGATCTTGGCGCTCATAACGATCTCTGTGGTCATTATAGTGATCCTGGCGATCGCCATAACGGTATCTGTGGTTGTCGTAGCGACTCTGGCGATCATCATAATCTTCTCTGCGGTCATCAAAACAATTTCTGTCATCATCAGAGCGGTTCTGGCGGTAGGGACCTCTGCCATCATCATAGCGGTCATGCAGGTTATCAAAACGATCTCTGTGATCTCTGTAATGTTCTTCCCGATCATTGTACCGATCTCTCTGATCATCGAAGCGATCCTGCCGATTATCGTAACGATCTCTGTGATCACCATAGCGATCCTGCTGATCACTGAAACAATCCCTGCGGCCATCGTAGCGATTTTGCCGATCATCGTATTGACCTCTGCGATCATCATCGTGCCTCTGCTGGTCATTGTAATGATGTCTGCGGTCATCATAACGTTCTCTGCGGTCTTCGTTACGATCTCTGTTGTAGATGTCCCTGCGATCGTCATACCTCTCAGGACGTTCATCTTCTTGAAT